TTTGTCGTTAATATAGGTGACAACGAGACTTATTTTGTCAGGGTAACTCAGGGCCGTAACAGACATTAATCGTCACTTTGTTTCTATTACTTCATTGGACCCTCAAGTCGGTTCTCAAACTATTGCTTCTATAGAATCAATGCAGCCTTTCCGGATCCCTGACTTTTGTTTCTCCCCTGTTACTCAGGATGAAATTAAAAAAGCTCTGTTAGCCATTAAATCCAATGTTGTGGGTTATGATGAAATTAGTAAGCAAATGGTGTCTATGATTCTTGAGTGCCTTCTTCCAACCATAACACACATTATAAATTATTCTCTGGACTCAGGTCAATACTTTTCCGCATGGAAAAAAGGCTATTGTAAGACCCCTTCCTAAAATACCTAATCCTGTATTCCCTAACCATTTTCGTCCTATTTCAATTCTCCCATATCTCTCTGAAGTTCTGGAAGCCTGTGTTTATAAACAAATATCTGTATTCACTGCAAAACATAACCTGCTGAATGAATTTCAATCGGGGTTTCGCTCTGGTCATAGCACTACCATTTCGCTTATCAGTCACAGACGATATAAGAAAGGGCTTGGATGAGCAGAAATTAACGGTGGTGGTCTTTATTGACTTTTCAAACGCTTTCAACACAGTAGATCATAGTATCCTCCTATCTATCCTTAAACACCTTAAATATTCATCCCCAGCCTTGGAATGGTTCTCTTCTTATATTCGCGGTCGCCAGCAATCGGTTCGCACAGGTCAGCGGTTTTCTGTATGAGCTGAAATTGAATCTGGTGTGCCGCAAGGCGGAATACTTTCTCCTATTATGTTTTCCTTATTTATAAATTCTATCTCCTCAGTTTTATATTGTTCGTACTATCTGTATGCGGATGATCTTCAGCGCTATGTACAGTCAGGCTTAAATAATCTTAACTTTGAAATACACAAACTAAATGATAGCCTGGAAGCCATAAGAGAATGGTCTTGTGAACATGGCGTTTCTGTTAATCCAGCCAAATGCAAAGTTATAATCTTCGGAAGTTCGCAATTATTGGCTAAGGTTGATTATGAAAATCTCTCTCCTGTAATTTATAATGGAACTTAGGTTCCATATTGTGATTCAATAAAAAATCTTGGCTTGTACATGGATAAAACTATGACCTGGAAATTGCAGATCTCTGAAGTAAGTCATAAAGTTGTTGCTACCTTGCGTTCCCTTCATCGTTTAAAAAACCTACTTTTCAAAACCAAGACAACAGCGCCACCTACCGGGTGCAATTGTGAATGTAAACCATCCAGGGAATCGAACACATACAGAAAATTTCATCAAAATCAGTCAAAACATTTTAGTTTTAGCGAGAGAAAGTTTTAGTTTTGTAAATATTAAATTTTCAAAATGTATTTCTTTTTCTTATCATTTCGACGAATAAACGGAATAAAGCTTAGATTAGCCTTATATGAGTCACCTAACGAATAAAAGTGGAAATAAAACTAATTTTAAATAAAATTTATTTATTTTATTGTTGTATACTATAGTAAAAGTAGCCTTACACATTTAACACTGACATAATATATTTAATAAATAGTTACATTAAGTATGTTTTTATTTTTTGAATTTACGTCATTTATGGTGAACACCTAAAATACTAACTATAGTTCATAAAAGATAGCTTGATCTCTGCGACAGCTGACAAGACTTGCTCGTTTAAAGGTATTGGAGGATATAATTCCACTATTACATATTTTACTAAATCAATAAAATTAGACTTTTAACACTCTTGTCAAGTGTAAGTAAGTGGTGTAGTATAGTCGGGAACGAAGACGCGAGCATCTACGATACAAACTATACACGATCAGTACGCAAAATTCGTGTATGCATTGTAAAAACAGATTTAAAAACAGCATTACAATATATACGCGAGCAGCTCCTATGGCTTTCCTATGCCTGCGTTCTGGCGTTGTATACAATGGAAAGACGCTCCACCGACCGCTCCCCATTGTCACCCGATTTTATATTTTATAAATTGATTTTCTGTTATTAGTATCCAATTTCACAATTGAGGCCGCCACCACGTTTAAGAGATTTTCAATACCACTGCTATTTAAAATGTCGTCCAAACGAAATAAACGATAACCTTTAAAAACGGTCGCATCCAGTCTTATGCGTTTACGTCTCCGTAATAACAATATGAGCGTACTGGCCAGCAATAACGCGTCCTCTTCTGAATATATTTTGAATGGTACTGATGATGAGCCCACAACCAGATCGAGATCGATGATTGAACAACGTTTTATTTATATTATTATTTAACTACCAGTATCCGTTATTCAATTATGCTATTCAGAATGAACATCGGAAATTTTTTGAAGATACACTTAACTATGACTAGACAAAATAGTAAATGAGCACGAGAATTGCGTGCTGTTCTTTATTTCTATATTATTTTTGTTTGCTTTTCTAAGTTTATTCTTATTATTAAATGCCATATTATATTTAATAATAAAAATAAACTTAGAAACCATTTAGGCGTTATATAAATGAGATATTTTTTTTCTTAGTGTTAGTAAAATGGTCTTTCAAACGGGATTTTGTGATTTATAGGTCGCTGGTAAAATTTCGACATACGAATCGTTTTTGTCAAATAAAAGTATTTTGTGTTACTAAAAATAAAAGTAGAGGAACCCAAGAGGGGATGTTTTGGTTTTTCTCAAGCGCGTCAGATTAAGGCAAGGTGAGTTAATAACGAGCTAAACTATTGTTTCAAAAAATTTAGATATGAAGCATTAGGAAATTTAACTTTTTCATATAATAAATACATATTGAAAATAAATATCTTCTTTCATACCAGATCTGATTTCATATGGTAATAAAAACTTGTTCTTATCGAATTCCCTGAACTGAAAAAAAAACTGATTTTACTAATAAGAGATCATTTATTATGGTATCTTTCTTGTTTTTTATGAAATGGTTTTATATTTACATACATGCAAACCAAACAAATCTATTTTTTAGACCTCGATTTTTTTCGGAAAAAATCGTCATCCCTATTATTATACTGAATGGTTCAGCTTGAGGCTCAAGCTGACCCTTCTGTAGTAATGTTTCAATAAGGCGATTTCTTTTTCACATTTTCTAAAATTCATTTACGGGCTTACGTCACTTCCGAATCATTAGTCTTTTGAATTGGGGCATTTTGAGGGTTCACTTAATATCTCCTTTGAATATCTGACGCGCTGGAGTTAATTTTTGAACATCTGTAGTAGTTTGTAGGAGTTTTTATATTTTTGAAAATCTGTAGACGCTTCCCCTACCACTGTAAGGGTAAACACTATGTAAACCTTTTTTTCTTCCCATCAACCAATCTACAAAATCTAATAGGGAACCTATGTGACGCTCGAGTTAATCCCCATTAAACATCATGGGCTCCCATACTAATAATATATTAATATACTTATAACTTATTAAATATTGTATACTTATATCAGTATCAGTAGTTTATTTTTTATAGTGTCATGTTGTCCAAAAATACAGTTTCTATAATGATTGCACTCGAATAGAATGTTCTTGCTGTGTCTACAAAACCTGACTAACAAAAAATACAACTTTTTGGTATTTACTTTACAAGTCATTTAAATAAAAAAAAACTAAGAAATATTATACTAATGTTTTTTACTTTTACTTAAAAAGCAGGGTGTGGCTGTCACGGCCGTATGTTTTACGTGAATCTATCGAAGGATACAACCTTAATATAAATGGCAGCACTATCCCCTCCACCGTGCGCGATGTGTCACAGTCCTTACTTAAAGTAACGAATCCTGTGACCCTTTAGCTATCGAGTGGTGTTACGGAACAAAATTTTTAATGTAGGTGATAGATATGTAGCTATAACACAAAAATAATTCCCGTGATTTTGAAATCATCAGTTTTTTGAATTATTTCTCACTACGGAAGAAAATTTAAAGACGTATTCACTTATTGTGAGGGTTGTGGAGACACAGCGTCGATACATATGTGTGTGGGTGTGTCGGTGTATATGTATGTGCAAACGTGTCTACACGGCGGTGAGCAGGCGCAGCAGCGCGGCGGGGTGCAGCGCATGCGCGCGCGGGCAGTGCGCGGCCAGCGCCGCCAGCAGCGCGCACACGCACACGCAGCCCGCCGCAAGCGCTGCGCGCCGCCCGCTCCGCGCCCAGCCTCGCCCGCCCCACGGCCTGCAGCCCGCCCGCCCCGCCCACCCCACCCAGCAGCTCGCGGTCCCCACACGCGCCGCATGCCGCGCACCGCGCCGCGCGCCCCGCCCTCGCACCGCGCCGTCCACGCGCCTCGCTCTGTATCACACGCACACCCACCACTTATTCAAAATTTATACAAATATTGCACAATGCTAACAAATACACCTATATTTTTTTCGTATTTAAAAAGGTTAGAATCAGCGTTTGAGAATAGGATAACGATGAAGCCACTAATTTAGTAACAATGGAAATTCAACTTCAGTTTTCTTTTTTTATAGACATGGTTCCAGTCGAGCCGACCCCATCAAGCTGCAACCATAACATAGCTACAACAAGATCGTTCTACCACGAAAACACACCACGTTGTTTTTACATACAAATGAAATAATATTGAAACACAAAATTAAATCTTTATAGTACGAGCAGTACAAATAGCAGAAGGCGTAGGCGAGGGCCTCGCTGTAGTGTACGGTGTGCAGTGTGCAGTTTACAGTGTGCAATGTGCAGTGTGCGCGGTACCTACACGGCGAGCGCCAGCAGCCGCAGCGCGCCGTCCACGTGGCGCCAGTGCTGCAGGTGGCAGAATTGGTAAGCGAGCGCCCCACTGTAGTGTACCATGTGCAGTGTGCAGTTTACAGTGTGCAATGTGCAGTGTGCGCGGTACCTGCACGGCGAGCGCTAGCAGCCGCAGCGCGCCGTCCACGTGGCGCCAGTGCTGCAGGTGGCAGAAGGCGTAGGTGAGCGCCTCGCTGTAGTGTACAGTGTGTAGTGTGCAGTTTACAGTGTACAGTGTGCAGTGTGCGCGGCACCTGCACGGCGAGCGCCAGCAGCCGCAGCGCGCCGTCCACGTGGCGCCAGTGCTGCAGGTGGCAGAAGGCGTAGGCGAGCGCCTCGCTGTAGTATACCGTGTGCAGTGTGCAGTTTACAGTGTACAGTGTGCAGTGTGCGCGGTACCTGCACGGCGAGCGCCAGCAGCCGCAGCGCGCCGTCCACGTGGCGCCAGTGCTGCAGGTGGCAGAAGGCGTAGGCGAGCGCCTCGCTATCGCCGCGCCGCACCACGTGCTCGGGCGGCAGCGCCAGTGCGCGCAGCTCCAGCAGGTAGGCCGGCACGTGCGGGTTGAACTCCACAGCGCGTCGCATCGCCTGCGCAACAAGTGCACATGCACACTTACTTACGTGCACAAGTACATAAACGCACGTCCGTACGAACGTATTCATACGAACATACGTGCACATACATACGCGTACGTAAGTGCGTATTTAAGAATTAATCAAAAGATAGTAAATTGTTTCATTCAAACTGATATTTTAATGCATAGTTTTTGTGTCTAATTTTAAACATAACATCTATATTATTGATATCAATTATCGTCAATGACAGCTGTTGTAACGGCATGTGCTATGTGCGGTGTGTGCAACCTGTGCGGTGCACGTGCTCCATGCGGTAAGTGCGCTGTGTGTGATGTTATATGATGTATGTGGCGTGTGCGGTGTGTGATCTGTGTTTACTGTTCGGTGTGTGTGATGTGGTCTATGTGGTGTGTGCGGTGTGTGTTTTTATATATGTTGTTGTGTGTTGTTGTTATATGTACATATGTGGTTTGTGCACTAAGTGGTTTGAGCTGTGTGTGATCTGTGTGTGGTGTTCGGTGTGTATGTGGTATGTGTTCTGTGTAAGATGTGTGCGACCTGTGCTCTGTGTGCGGTGTGTGCGACCTGTGCAGTGCGTGTGGTCTATACGGTGTGTTCGCTGTGTGTGGTTTTATATGATGTGTGTGATGTGTGCAGTATATTCAGTGTGTGCGGTGTGTTCGGTGTACGGGGCATGTGCGACACACCTCTAGCGCGGCGAGCTCGAGATGCTGCCGCGCGGGCGGCGCGGCGGCGGCAGCGGCTCGCGCGCGCAGCAGCGCGGTGGTATACACGCTGCACGCCGACCGCGTCGACGCACACTCCTCGTACCGCGCCACCACCGCCTAAGTACCGACCCATGCAATTTTTTTACAATTTTTATGATCAAATTTCGACATTTCGATGGAGACAAGTTAAAAATAAATGAAGCGATCAAAATTTCGATATTCAAATCAAATAATTCCCTTACTTTATGCGTATAAAATGAATGAATGCGTATGAAATGAATTATGTCTAAATTTCCAGCGATTTGGGCTGTGCGTTTATAGATACGTCAATGACTTAAAACAATTCTTTTATAAATGTACATATATAGATGATATCATAGTTGATAAACAGTGAACAGTGACCTCTGTTGATAAATGGTATAACTAAATATACGTATACGTGCGTGTACATACGTTTGATGTGAATTTGATAGCGGTGAGTGAACGAGTGAGTATATGCGAGGATGAAGGACCTGCACGTCAGCGTACGCGCGCTGCTCGAGCAGCACCTCGATGAGGTTCTCGTGCGTGTGCAGCGCGTGCAGCGCGGGCGGCGCGTCGCGCGCCAGTTCGCGAAACATGCGCGCCGCGTCACGCAAACGGCCCAGCCGCCGCGCGCACATCGCCAGCCGCCTCTTCACGTGCGCCAGCACGGCGGCCTGACGGCGCGCGCCCGCGCCCCCCGCACCCCCCGAGATACGCGCTCGCCACGCTGCCTCGCCTGCGCGCCACGCTCGTCGCAGCACACGCTCCGCCTGCGGTAACGCAAGTGTCGACACAATCGACACCCCACAACAATTTATTACGGTGTCGAGTGCAAGTCCCACAAATTAAATACGGAAGTCACTGCGCCAGGATAGTTTATTAATATAACCGAGTAATGGGGGTGTAAGAATATCCACTACCGCATATCATCCCGTGGGTGTCGTAAGAAGCGAAACAGGGAAACAAATCAGAAAATAGGCAGCAACGTCTTCCTGATGACTTAAAATAAAATATGCGATTGCCAACCCGCCTGCCATGTGCGGAAACTGTAGCAAATTCCACCCTATAAGACAATCTATGGGAGAGACCTATGTTCAGCAGTGGACTTTAATAAGCTGCCGCGGTAATATATTAAAACAATCGGTATTATGGTAATGGTTAACGGTATGAACACACGCGGCGTGGTTGATGACCGATCGTCAACTGCCTTATTAGCTATTGCGATATTAAGAGCGTATATTCAAATATGCGCATGTATGATAAGTGGATGCTGTGGCTAGGGTTACTAACTCTCGAAAATACCAAACCGGGAAAATTTTATGAAATCGAGTGCGGGAGAGGGGGGTTGAAAGAAAATCTCAATCATGAAAAATCGAAGTTTGCTAGTACTTGTAGCTCTGCTTTTACTAAAGAAATACTCATTCGGTTTCCTTCCTTGCTCCATGCTTGATGTCATGCTGAATATGGCTCGCAAGAAGCATAAGAGATAGGAATGGAAAAAACACGACCACTTTTTTCAATTGAAGACAGGGATTTCTGTATTTCGATTCCGTAAAGAAGCCAACCCAGCGTCAATCCACTCGATTTTCTTCAGCGAGCTGTGGTTGCATATCACGCAAAAGTCGAACCTCACGTATATTTTGTTAATATCTATATTAAGCATTCTTGACTAGCCGGTCCTAAAACAATTTCGGCAATACTGCTCGATTTTGTTCTTCCGCATAATACTTTTTTCGCAGTCGTCGCACAGATAACGGCAGCGGGGCGTGGTTTTTTCGAAAAACCGGAGAAATTATTGCACCGCGGGAGGTCGGGAAATTAATCTTTATTACCGGAGTCTCCCGCGCAATCCGGGAGGGTTGAGAACCCTAGCTGTGGCCGATAGACAAACACTAAGATGGAATGCCCCGTTTCCAGTAAAAAAAAAGTCTCCGGATACACTCACCATACGAAACGCAGCTGGATTAAACTGCTATTTTACGCTGGTATTCTATGAGAGCGTTGTCCTTCCCCGGTCGAACCGACCCATTCGTGCTGCAGCATACCACTATTACCACCACCTAGAAGCATATTATTCAGTATCATAAACTTGTGTTCGATGTTCGTGCAAAGACTATATGTCTACCATTTATAACATTAACCATAATATACAATGTATTGTACTTGCTCAGGGTTCTTTTCCGTGTGTACATCACGACTCTCTATTCCTGCGTAATTCTATTAGATATTGAACAGATTTCTCAAGGTTCGTAGGCGAGAACACCCCAAGCAACACAACTGTTTTCAATTAGTATAATTTATTTTACAAGGAGTCTCCTTACAATAAAAAATCCAATAATGTATATGGTTTGCTCGGTAACATAACCATAGCGCTATCTATTTTAATCCCAACCCAACGCCATCTAGGGAAGCGTCAGGTAAACTTTGCACATATGAAGTATTAGTATGTTTGTTATTGTGAGTGAGCAGAACCGTACCATGGTCGGTCCGTGTGCGGTGCGTACCTCGAGCACGGTGGGCGCGTCCTCCTCGGCCAGCAGCAGCAGCGCGGGCGCGCAGTCGGGGCGCGCGGCGAGCGCAGCACGTGCGGCCGCTACGCGCGCGCTCGGCTCGCGCTCGCGCCACGCTCGAGCCATGCACGCCTCCGCCTCGTCGCACTCCGCGCCGCCCCCCCCCCCCCTCCCCCTCGCCGACGCCTGCGCCACGCGACACACACGCTCAACACCCGATCCTTCACAAACTAGTCAAGCTTACAGTTACACTGCTGAACATAGCATTTTAACAGTGGTAAAGCCACGCGGCAGCTTTGCTGTTGCACGTATGGGCCGGCTCAAACCGGGGTGGTACCACGACCTCACAGAATACCGGCGTGAAGTGGAAGCTCTGCTTTCGCGTTTCGTCTGGTGAGTGCAGGTGGCCGGAGGCCCAAATTCTACCCCCCCCCCCATCAACATGGTTGCGGAATTAAATGATGATAGACTACCCCAGGAGTGTACCAGCACCCCTGGAGAATCACTCGCTGAGCTTCCACGACCATGTTTCCACACTTCTGAGCGTGGGTGCTCAGACTGCCCCGCATATTCTGGGGAGGGGGGGGCAAAATTCCGCTCAAGACTACAACTACTCGGAGCGAACGGAGCAACAAGACCAAGGCGACCCCTGCCACGCTGTCCGTGAATTTCTGCAATATCAGGGGACTTCACTCTAAGCTAAACGCCGTCCACTACCATCTAGGTCCCATAGCGGTAATGCCGAAACAGACAGACTCTTCGACCACGTCCAAATGGCTACAGATTCGTTGCTACAGCAGATCCCCTCCGCAGAGATCGTGATCCTCGGCAACTTTAACGCCCATCACGCCGAATGGCTTGGTTCACGTTTATCCGTTCCCGATCATGCGGGGAGATCTGTTCATGATTTTGCCTTGGCATATGGTCTGACACAACTGGTTACTTCGCCTACGCGGATTCCAGATGTGGAGGATCATGCACCTTCCCTGTTGGACCTTCTACTGACCTCTCACCCGGACGGATATCAGATTTCCGTCGACGCCCCTTTAGGCTCCTCGGACCATTGTCTTGTTCGGAGTGTGGTGCCACTCACGCTGAAATCGCAGTTGCATTCTGCAGGCTGCCGCCGTGTTTGGCACTATAAGTCAGCCGATTGGGATGGGATGCGGTCTTTCTTTGCATCCTACCCTTGGGTTTGCTTCTCGCCGGACGATCCCAACGTTGTTACGGATTTTGTCGCTGATGTGGTACTTCAGGGTATGGAACTTTTTATTCCTTCCTTTGCCCTGAGCAAATCTCAGCCATGTGGTCGCTCCTGTAAAATAGCATCATGCTATAAGCAGGAGTGCTACCAAGCCTGGGCTGACGCATCAGCGTCCCGGGACGCGTAAACACCAGCGCTCTAAAAAAGAAGTATAATTCCGCCTCTAGGTCCTTCAAAAGAGTCATTGCCAAGGCAAAGTCAGAGCACATAGGCAGAATTGGCAAGAAACTAGTTCGCCTTCCTTCTGGAACCCGTGCATTCTGGTCTCTCGCCAAGGCTGTCCAGGGGAATTTCTGTCAGCCATTTCTTCTATCTCTGCACAGAGAGGACGACTCACTGGCCCATACGGCAAAAGAGAAAGCCGATCTTTTAGACTCTTTCTTTGCGTCCAACTCAACTCTCGATGACGAGGGGAGTACGCCGCCGACCATCCCGCGGTGTGAGTGCTCCATGCCGGAAGTGCAGTTCACACAGTGCTCGGTTCGCAAAGCACTCCTCTCCCTGGACATCCACAAGTCGAGTGGGCCTGACGGAATCCCCCCAATTGTGCTGAGGAGGCTGGCACCGGTTTTAACGCGTCTTTTCCGGTACTCCTACTCCCTAGGCGTAGTCCCAAAATCATGGAAGACGGCTTTCGTCCACCCGATCCCTAAAAAAGGCGACCGCTCAGACCCGTCCAACTACCGGCCTATCGCCATCACCTCCTTGTTCTCCAAAATAATGGAGTCCATTGTAAACTGCCAGCTCATGAGGTACCTTGAGGATCACCAGCTGATTAGTGACCGCCAATACGGTTTTCGTCATGGTCGGTCAGCTGGTGATCTTCTGGTCTACCTAACTCACAGATGGGCGGAGGCAGTAGAGTCCAAGGGAGAGGCATTGGCCGTTAGTTTGGACTTTGTGAAGGCCTTCGATCGGGTTTGGCACAAAGCGCTTTTTTTCGAAGCTCCCATCCTATGGGCTTCCCAAGAAATTGTACGATTGGATCACCAGCTTTCTTGCAGATCGGGGCATCAAGGTCCTTGTAGACGGTGCAAGCTCCGATTGCAAGCCTATTAATGCTGGTGTTCCACAAGGCTGCGTGCTATCGCCAACGCTGTTTCTTCTGCATATCAATGATATGTTGCAAACCCGTAACATTCATTGCTATGCAGATGACAGCACTGGTGATACTCTTTACACCGGCCGAGCCAATATTTCATGGGAAAACGTCTCCGAGTGCCGGGACAAACTTGTGTCTGAAGTCGAGTCTTTGCTGAACAGAGTCTCGGATTGGGGGCGACTAAATCTAGTCCAGTTTAACCCCCAGAAGACACAAGTTTGCGCGTTAACCGCTAAAAAGAACCCCTTTGTCGTATCTCCTAAGTTTCAAGGCACTACCCTTGTTGCCTTAGCCAGTATCGGAATCCTCGGCGTCGACATATCGAGTGACGTGCAGTTTCGTGGTCACTTGGAAGAGAAGGCCAAATTGGCCTCTAAAAAGCTTGGCGTGCTCAGCAGAGCGGGACAGTATTTCATGCCGACACACCGCCTGCAACTTTATAAGGCGCAGGTTCGGCCGCACATGGAATAGTGTTCCCATCTCTGGGCTGGGGCTCCCCAGTACCAGCTCCTTCCACTTGACCGCATCCAGCGCAGAGCGGCTCGAATCGTCGACGACCGAGTGCTTCCGATCGGCTCGATTCACTGGCACTGCGAAGAGATGTTGCATCTCTTTGCATTTTCTTTCGCATATACAATGGAGAGTGCTCTGAGGAATTGTTCGAATTAATCCCAGCCGCCAAATATCGTGAACGCACTACGCGGCAAACGTCCCGATACCATCCACACCATCTGGATGTTTGGACCACCACTGTACGTTTTAAGAGGAGTTTTCTTCCGCGTACAACCTCTCTGTGGAATAGTTTACCACCAGCGATTTTTCCGGACCGATACGACCTGGGGACCTTCAAGAAAAGAGCTTACTCTTTTCTAAAGGGCCGGCAACGCACCTGCAATTCCCCTGGTGTTGCGGTTGATCATGGGCGGCGGTAGTCACTTAACATCAGGTGAGCCGCATGCTCGTTTGCCCCCTCTTCTATAAAAAAAAAACATAGGCCTTCGAGGATATTTGACATAGTTGCGACGCTTGGTAAGCAGGTTGGCCACCGCAGTTTTATTAGTCGTTATTAGGAAGACGCTGCTGCCCATCTCCTGGTTTGTTTCCCTCTGTCGCCTCTTACGACACCCAAGCTCTGATATGCGTAGTGGATATTCTTTCACCACAGTGACACAGTAGACATAATCACTATCAAATTCGAACAAATCTCTTCAAACTAAGTAAGACACACCATTTTATATTATTAAGCAGACCCACGCTAATTAATCTTTAAAATATTTAATATAATGGATTTCTGTAAAATAACCTTACTCTATTAATTAAACTAATTTTTATTAAGGTACTTTCTCGTCTCATTTATATAAATGTTAATAATTACGTAGTTATTCTAGTTTTCGTCACGACAATAAACGGTTATTTTATTAAAATTAGTTAACCGTGATATCATATATAGTTTGATATCCGATATAGTTGAAATGTACTGACAAGTTAAGGGCTTATACTACCTCAAATGGCTTAGCAAGATCCTCCGTTATGCCGAAAATATTGTAGCATTAATTTTGAAATCAATATATGGTAAAGTTGAGGATTAATGTTACGTACTATGTTAAGACAAAAACACGATTTAATAAAATTTTCATGATAGAAAAAATATCCAAAGTTACCTCCAAGCTACAACAAACCGCTGGTATTCATAAAATACTTTAAATTAGATCATGAAACTTTGTATACTAACTGAACTAACTATAAAGTAGGGCTCATGTTTTTCATTTTTTTTTTAAATTAACACTATTTTCACCGTAAAAAAATTACCTAAACTATCGGCGTCTTAAAGCTTGTTCACTGCCGCCCGATCAGTCTCGCTACAACTTTCGAACGGGAAAGCTGTGTCGCTTACGATCAGAATACACATTACGCAACAGGATGACGTAAAATTAAAATGGGAATTAACTGTAATAAAAATGAGAAGCGACTGGGTTGGCGTAAAGAAACAGGCATAAATATAATAAACCTAATGAAATAAGTATCTAACGACCTATCTACTTACAGTTTAGTGATTACAAACACGTCGGTAGATAGCATACGACGCGCGGGGAAGTGGGGGCGAAATTAGAATTTAAGGCTCAGATAGTATTGGCCCGAAATATTACTAAACGCTACTTTCGGTACAGCTGAAGCACTTCATTTAGCTTTAAATGCGTTAAAGCTAACAGTTTCCATGCTGGTAATACTTTTCTAACGCCATTAAAAAAGATCCTTAGGGGCTTTTATATAGATAACTTATTAATTGACAACCACAAATGACAAATTACAGAAATAGTGTAGTGGTAGTGGTACGAAAGATCAACTGACAACTCTGCCGATAGTGTCACTGGTGTAAAATAAATTAATTGGGAAGAAAATTATTTGTATTAGTCTACCATGAGCTACATATAGTATATGATCAAGATGAAGTTGATAATATATCGCTTGAATAAAAACCACTGAAAACTTGTACAGTTCATTTAGAACAACTTGAGTTGTGGACAAAATATTCATGCATCTAATTTTTTTTTAGATTTATGGTAATGTGAGGCTATACATTCCCTCTGCTTAAACCATTGTACTGATATTATGAGTACTACTGAAACCGACAGATCTTCCCAGTGGGTTGGGTCCATTGCTTGGCTGATTCAAAATCTTGCTCACCGAACCAAGCTTGATGCTCTTGCGCGGAGAGGTTCATGTCATAGTAAGTGAGTGGCGCGCGACGAGCCACGGTCCACAGGCGGCCGTACTCAGCACCACGCAGCAGCGACATCGGGTTGCGCCACACCTTGCACTCGGCGGGCGCAGGGCCGGCCGGCGCGCTCCCCGCCCCCAAGCCTGCACCCGGCCCGGGCCCCGCCCCCGCACCCCCTCCCGCTCCCGCGCCCGCCTCGCCCTCTTCCCCGTCCGTCGCGCTCGCTCCACCGCCTAGCCATGGACCCAAGTGAGCCAATGACACCTGCAAATGTATACATTATAGCAGACACTTAATAGGATCTATAGGAATGTTCGACAATTTTATAACTGAAAAGGAGCTTGGCGCAGCTCCAGGTCCCAACACTCATCAGTGGCCACATTTTCACATTTATGGTTTTGGTGGAAAATCATTAGTTTTTTAGAGATAATTTTCTCATCTACAAAAATGTTTAATCTGTATAAATGCATTCAAAATTGAACATGTTTTCTTGCATCTATTATATATATCTACTGGTTTCTATTTTCAAATACAGTCCTAGAAACTAACCACACCAATAACTTTGTTTACACCAAATATCAATACTCGTAGTTTTCATATATTTTACTTTGATTACAGTAAATGATCTACCATGATGCCTAATTTCAAGTTTCTAAGTAACCTTAAGTAGTAAGAAAAAGTGGCTTAGGTTATTGATGAATGAGTCATTGAGTGATAAAAATGGCACATTTGAGAGCTTTATAAATCAAGAATGGTAAAATTAATTGTCTTATTAATAATCATTAAATGTATGTTATGGCCAGGTCCCGCAGGCACTCAGAAAAGGGGAAGATCTGCAACTGGATGGGCAGACAACATAGTTCAAGTAGCAGGCAAAAACTGTCAGAAGCCAATGAATGAGACCGCGGGCATGCTCTGGAGAAGGCCTTCACCCTCACTACTTGAGTAGTTCACACATATTATTTTAACTCTATATTTTTTATTTTTTTAAATTATATCAAACTAATACTAATAATTTTATGAAAATTAAAAAAAAATTGATTTAATTAATATTTAAGGAAAAACAGAAATTAAAAGATTTTATGAAAACTATAAATTAATTATGCAATTTTGAAATTAAATTAAAAATTAATGCAACAATCCTTTGTAAAATATTATATTGTATGAAAAAATAAAAAAAAAAAAAAAAAAAATATATATATATATAAAATCAAAAGACTTTTAGTAAATCCGAATGTGCATGCCTTAAGCGCTCATGTTATACATTAATTTTTTAAAGTATTTTAAATACACACAAGTTTTCTCAAATAACCTGTACAATTAATATAATTTTATGTCAAATGTCAATAAAAAAAGTTTGGAAAATCCAAAAGTGCATGACTCATAATGATCGTAATGAAGAAATGTAGAAAAAAATTCTCAATCAATATCAAAAGAAAAACATAATTTTTACAATGTTATTATTCTCAATAATAATTCAATTTTTTTAATATTGTTAATTGAAAAAACATAACAAAATTATCTTTTATTTCAATTTAATTCTTTATTTGCGCAATATGGGTACAGATGGTGATACAGTGGTCAATTTACATTGTTGATCGCCATATTTGCCATGCCATGCAAAAATTCTCAATTATATGCTATAGTTTAAATTAAAATTATAACATATCAAATTACAGTGTCTAAACAAATATTAAATTAATGTCAAATAAGATTATCTAATTAATACACAATGTCAACTTTGTAAAATAAATGTCACAAAAAATGTCTAATTAATGTCACAGTACCACTAAGCCGGTTACAATACTACGTCTTAAAACAATCAGAAATCAACTTTATTACTACTGTAATTTTTAGGTATTTGTACTCAATATTAGAGATGGGCCGAATATTAGTTTTATATTCGGTATTCGGCATATTCGGCAGCTGCAGCGAATATTCATATTCGACCGAATATTCGGCAAAATCACCAAATATTTGGTAAAGTGGTAGTCAAAGTCACCACAGTATTGAAATGTATGAATTGAGTAATGCCATGTCTTTAATAATTTTACTGTTGGAAGTATATTTATTTATGGGTTAAATCTACTTGTATAGCGTTATGTTTTTGAGGCACTGTAGAGTTATTTCCAATTATAGCAAATAGAAAGCTCGATAAAATTTTATTTGGAATCAAACAAAGAAACATTACAGTCGTCAGTTTCTCTAACATAGGTCCAAATAGTAGATCTCCTTCCACTCATTTTCATCATATACTTGTCAATTTTCATTAATAATAACACATAAAATACTTTTTTTCTCACAAAAATACTCAAAACATAAGCATGTACCAGCAATTTGCTCAGTACTAGATGATGCAATAACATGTCAGGTGTGGCGGGAGAGCGAGTGGCAGGGTCCGGCGCTAATCCCGAGCGCTTTACGGTAACAAGTTTCGATATAAATTGGTTAGGTACCGAGGTAGTCCTGCCGAATAATGTTCAGCCGAATATTCGGTTAGGTAAAAATTATACCGAACTTTCGGCCAAATATTCGTATTCAGTGAAATCCATATTCGGCCCATCCCTACTCAATATTCATAAAAAATTATCATAAAAAGTAGTCTTTTTTACCAATTAATAAGAATTTTTTGTAAACTTTATTTTGTTTTCAAAAGTTTTTCATCTAGGCAAAACCAGTATTTTATTTTATCATTCACCAAAGTACACTTTCAGCTAACTCTATCAAGTCTGGAAGTAAGATCTCATCATAAGTAACAAAACAAAATCAAACTTGGCACACCTAGGTTCTACTCTACGAGTTCCACTAGCAAATACTGAAATACACGTTCAGATCACTCCATAAAGTCCAAGACATATAAGTATATTTATATATAAATCCTAAATACTTTTGGCGAAACCATATACATAAACACTCACGCCTGTCACCCAGAGAGGTAGGCAGAGACTACAGACTTCCATTTAGCACAATCCTGACATACCTTTCTCGCCTCTTCCACATCCATAACCTACGCATACATGCTTGTCGGTTAAGGGTACTCTTAATTTGGCCCATTTTTAGTATATCGCCAATTTGGTCGACAAACTTCCGCCCAGGATGTCCCTTTCCGACTCTTCCATTCACTTCTGCAACATATATTTGCTTTGTCAGTCTTTCTGCATTCATTCTTTCTACATGACCAAACCACCGAAGCATTCCTTTCTTAATCCTGGTCACCGCATCATCTTGCAAACCACACTCTTCTTTTATCACACAGTTTCTCACCCTGTCACTCAGATTCAGCCCTCATACTCCTACGACCTCCACCATTTCACTACCATATGTTAAAGTAGGGACTAATACAGCACTGTGAATTACCATACGTGCCTTTTTTGACACAATCTGACTTTTCACAATAGAGTGTAGAGCCCCATTTACTTCATTTCCTGCATTCACTTTCGTCGTCGTTCAATATCCTTATCATATCTCCCATCCCTGCTGAATAGACATCCCAAATATACGAACTCATCCACTTGCTCAATTAACTCTCCTTCTATTCTTATTTCACATACCGTTTTGCTTTCTTCTCTTTCAAAAACCATCACTTTCGTCTTACTTGCGTTCACTTTCATTCCCCTTTCTTTTAATGACCTGTTCATTAATGTAACCATCATTTGCAACTCGGCCGCCGACGACGCAAGTATGACTTGATCATCGGCGTACAAAAGGCATTTGATGGTTAACCCACCCATTCTTAACCCGCATTCTTCAACTTTCAAATTTTCCAAACAGCTGTCCATAAATAGGTTGAACAGCCACGGGGAAGCTACACAGCCCTATCTGACACCTTTATGGATGCCAAACCAGTCCGAGTAGACCCCGTTGATTCTAACACAAGCACTCGAGTCCCTATACAGAGACTTTAATGCCTGTATCAAACCAGCGCTCAACCTAAATGCGTTCAGTGTTTGCCATAACACATCCCTGTCCACTCTGTCATAAGCCTTTTCCAAGTCCATGAACGCACAAAAAACTTTTTGGTTTTTCGCCAAAAACTTCTCTGCGATCATGCGCATGGAAAAGACTTGATCTGTACACCCCATTCCCTTTCTAAATCCCGCTTGCACATCCCAAATTTTTTCATTAGTTTCTTTCATAACTCTTTCAATTAGTACCTTAGCATACAGTTTTCCCACAATGCTAAGAAGGCTGATACCACGGTAGTTTTTACAGTCCTGCTGTGACGCTTTTCCCTTATATATTGGGACTATCACGGCTTTACACCAGTCTCCCGGTACCCGCTTTAGTTCCCAACATAAATTAAACAAGGTGTACAGCAGGCCTGCCACCACGTCCTCTCCAGCCCTTAGCATTTCGAGTGAAACTCTATCATATCCGGCTGCCTTACCTACTTTCATGCTTTTCATTGCTTTCATTATTTCATCTACACTTATCTCCCTATCTCTCTCATCTTCTTTCGGAATTTCTATTTCATTTAGTTCACACTTCTCCTCACTCATAAATACGCTTTCAAAATATTCCTTCCATCTAAAAAGATGATGAAGTGTTGAGTCTAAAGAGACTCAACACTTCATCATTCAGGATACAGCCATTCTCGTCTTGTATCGCATTCAATCTAGGCTGTTTTGAAAGTCCCCTGGTATTTCTTACGAGTTTCCAGAACATTTTAATATTTGCCTGGAAGTTATCCGATATTCTTCTATCATTCTTATCAATTTTTTCTTTTTTCTTTCATTCTCATCATTCTTACCGCCAGAATTACCAGCTTTGGTCGCTAGTAAAACTAGCCATGCTCTCTTCTTTGCTTCAACTTCCATACGTATCTCATCATCCCACCATAACATATTGTCTATCATTTCATTCGTTCTCTTACTAACACCACATACTTCGGTAGCTGCATCCACTAAACCTTTCTTAACATTATGCCACACATTCTCCAAGTCTAACTCATTCACACACAACTCATTAAATTACTTATATTTTCTCTCAGTCTGCATTTGTACTTGTCTTTCACATCTTCATCTTGTAACCTCTCAATTCTTATACGCTGTAACGCAGTGGTAGACACAGATGTCCTATGCCACCAACGTCTGAATAAACCCCTAATTCGGCATAAGACCAGGTAGTGGTCCGTCCTCCCTACGTTGAACCCAGTAAACCCTTGTATCCACCACTGCACTCCTCATTCTTTCATCCACAGTTATGAAATCTACCATGCTTCTATCATCACCTCTTTTCCAAGTATACATGTGAATCTTCTTATGACGAAAGAAAGTGTTTGTCACAAAAAGATTCCTTTCCACACATACGGTGAGGAGGCTTTCACCATTCTCATTAATACTTTCATCACCAAACGTTCCCAGTATCCTTTCATAGCCAAGCCTCCTCACCCCAACCCTTCCATTAAAATCTCCTAACATAACAATATTTTCATTTTCCTTACATTTCATTAACACCATCCTTACCATCTCCCAAAACTGCTCTCGGATACAAGTGGGCTTAGACATGTCTGGGGCGTAGACCCCTAGAACAAACAACTTCTTTAGGCCCACTTTTATTCGTATCCATAGCAGTTCCGGGTTTACACATTCATACTCTTTCACACATTGACCCATTCTTTCTGAAAGGATGATACTGACTCCCTGGCATGCTCGCTTGGTCTCGTCTACACCAGACCAGTAAGTGGTATATATGCCATGTGTAGTGACATCCTTACCCTTCCGCTTCGTCTCATTTCCACATAACACATCTATTCCTCTATCATACATCATATTGCATACTTCATCCATCTTATCATTCATTGCTCCACATACATTCAGCGTAGCTAGATGGGCCTCCACAATCCTCTTTTCGCCCCACCGGGAGACAGAATGTGATGGGTGGCGAACCTCGTCGCCGGTTTTCCTCCCGGAGATTCTTCGCACCCCTGCCCCATTAAAGGGGCGCCGGGAACTCGGGGCCATTTCTTTTACTTTTTGCCTCATGGTGCGAAAACTAGGGTGTGGCATATTATAAATTTAAGTACCTTTTTTTTTTTCGAAACAATATATTATTATAAAAATCTGTGATTATAAAAATAATAATAATGTCTTACCTTGGTCAAGTATGTTTTTGAAATATTTTGTATTTCTACAGTGATCTACTTATATTTTTTATCACGAGCTACTATAACGACACATTAATGCACTCACGATGGTGTCCGAGCCCGGAGTGAGTCAAAGTGTATCCGTATTTAGTAAAATATATTATTACAAGGCTGCACAAAACACTGAAAATTTTGGAATTTCTCAGCCGAAAAACAAAATTATAACTAAACAAAATGAAACAGCCGTTATATTCCATGGCTTCCCACATGATAGATGAAGATATTAAAATATAGATTTGAGTTGAGCAATTGATATTTTCAGAAGTTATCATGTTTACCTCTCCACATGAACTTGATAAATATACATCATAAGTCACTAAACCCACTTTTGAACAATGTAAAAATAACACCAGATTAAAAGAAATAAGTTCAAAATCATTTATCTTTCTGACAATGTACTTTTTATATCATTTACATGTTCAATATAATTGTTGGGAACAATTAAATGCGACAAAACATTGGATTCTTGATTTTTAGCGCTAGTAGTACATACCTACTTGCTTTGCGCTTAAGGCATGCAAAAGTCAAATATTGTGCAATGTATGCAATAAAAGGCAAATAGCCGCTTCGTGCATTTTTATTTATTTTAGCCTATTTTTTTATTTTGTTTAAGTGAATGTAGGGGATTCAAAAGCGGCTCTTAACAGTTTTTGAAATATACACACTGCCTGTGTGTCAGTCTCTTCTTTTTCGAACTTGGCTGACACACTGTTGTTATACCATATTATCACTAGATCTTTTAATGAATAAAAGTATTTTAAAGCAAAACATGATTAAATAATTTCCATTGTTTGGTAAAGTGGCAATTGGATGGCCATATAGCTTGAAGAACTGACATCCAATGGAGATTTAAAGATTTCAAATAGCAACTTCATACAAGTTAGCAAAGTGTGGTGGGATTGAAAGGTGGCTCAGGACCATGTTTTATGGCATTTCTTGGTGGAGGCATAGGTCTGACATAGGTTCAGCAGTGGACTTTTCAAAGCCTGTAATGATGATTATGAAAAGTTATTAAGGTCTGACATGTCAAATTGTTAAATGTAAAGTTAAATCTCAGATACTGGTATAATGCTTCAATACTCATTTTTCTACCTTACTATATATAAATATCCTTTATAATAATTGAAAATTAATAAATTTAAATAAGTAACACACTAATGGTCGCCACAACACAACAGTTTTAAAAAATATCAACAGTTTTAGTTTAAACTGATCAGTTGGAATGACCGTGTGTGGCCTCCATAATACATGTTGTCAATTATAACAAAAGTTTTATCAACAAACTTGCATAGTGTTTACGTCAAATATTATCAAAGTAGTTTAGTGTAGTAAGCTTGTTGTAGTAGATTCTAATTAGAACCACATTTCAATACATAAAAAGCTCTACTTAAGTTATATTAAAAGGCAATTTTGGTCTTGCAAGGCCTGCAATGCATGCAAGGAATCTTAACATCAATCAGATATTACAGCGCAGTTTTATATAAACATGCTAAATTAACTGAATGGAATATTAAAATGAATTAACAAACCATTAAAATCTAAATTAGAAGTTGAAATTAAATATGAAAAGTTTATCACCTGTTCGATAAAAGAAGTGCCATACTTTCGGAAATACCACCACTCGAATATTAAAATAAGTCCTGAGATAAGTGAAGAGGTGCCGGTAAGGGCTACATAAAATTTAGGTGTGAGCACTCCTACGAACGTTGGAGAATCCCACATCACGTAGATTTGTCTAGTTCTAGTTTACAATTGACTTTTTATTAAGTGCCCACTATTAATCAATACGCATCTTTGCGTCGCACAGTGCATAAAAAGCTGTTTTATGCCGTTTTACAATCAAGTAAATACCGTCAGCAGTAAATAAACAATAAGCCAGCCACCATAGACGTATACGCTATACGTCCATAGATTACTATACGTCTTTGAATTGAATACTCTTATCTATGTCTATGTTTCCAGTATGGAGTGTAGAGGTAAGGAGTTCAGACTCTGTATAAAAAAATGTCCGCAGGAAAGCGCTAATAATGGTGGCGCCACTGTAGCTACAGTCTCGTATACAGTAGGATTCTCTGTAAACTTTTTATATTTTTTTATTGCAAAGACTTTCACCATAAGTCTTTTTACAATAATTATTTTAATGCTTTCAAAATTTTTATTTTCAAAACAACTCTCAACGTATTTTACGGCGATTTATCCTCGAGCTGTACAAGATTGCCTGTACAGTTAGAGACTTCCTCGAGCAGTGTATGGGGCAGTGGAGTACGATCCTTTGCCATCTGGGCGAGCTGATGATGGCTGCAGAGAAGCACATAAGGATAAGAAGGGGTATCTTCCAGGGCGATTGTCTGAGTCCAATCTGGTTCTGCCTCTCTCTGAACCCTCTCAGTACCTTACTGGAGGGCTCCGGGAGAGGATTTCAGCTACGGAAAGGAGGGACAAAAGTGACCCAGCTTTTCTATATGGATGACCTCAAGTTATTCGCCTCCAGTCGCTCCCATCTTATGTAACTGCTAAACATCACTTGTGAATTTAGCAATTCCATTGGACGGATAAGTGTGCGGTCCACCATGTTGAAGGGGGGAAGGGTTGCTAACTCAGAGGGCATAGACTTGTCTATGCCCGTCAACTTAAGGACCCTTTCCGAGGCTGAAACGTACCGATACCTGGGTATGTCACAGAACATCGGTATCGATGAGGCTGGTATGAAACAGTCAGTTTGCGACGGGTTTTATGCACGCTTGACCAAAGTGCTTAACAGCCTTTTTGTCCGGTGTGAATAAGTCACACGCATATAACTGCTGGGTCATGCCTGTCCTCATGTATACCTTTGGCATACTCAGGTGGACTCAGACTGAACTTAACGCCCTGGATAGAAAAGTCCGCACTACCATGACGTCCCATAGGACGCATCACCAGAGATCCGCTCCGTGACGGACCGCTCCGGGCTCAAATGCAGTAAGCAGTGGCCTCGATACCGCCCGCATCGTCCGTCGGTTTCTTTCCCTTTCCTCCTAACCCTCGGCCGTTTGGTCTCCTCTGCCGAGGGCTTCCATCTGGTTGGATCTTTATTTATTTGTGTATTTTTGTATTTATTTTATTTTATTGATATTTATGTATATTTATCTTTTCATTTTAATTTATAATTATATATTTATAGAAACCAATCAGATGAGAAAACTATACAGATACCCCTATAATAATAATAATAAATGATTTATTTTCTCACCACAATATTACAGAATTATTGAACATAATATTAGAATATTACACCTTAATGTTATACTGTGGGAGACTGGTGCCTAAGCCAGGCTTTACGCCTGTATTTCAGGCCACCAGGTCTTCGCCCTATGGTTGTAATTACAATACTTTTACCGTGTACATGTACCGTATTTGTAATTTACATAATGTACCTTCTTTTACTTAACTAGTATTTAATATATATTGAAATCTGGTGCTAGTATTAGTCTGTGTGTGTGTGTGTGTGTGTGTGTGTGTGTGTGTGTGTGTGTGTGTGTGTGTGTGCGCGTGTGTGTGTGTGTGTGAGATAGAGTTTGTTTGTGTGCATGTAAGTGTGTGCGTGCTATTGTTTGTTAGTTAGTAACTGGGATAGAAATTAAATTTAGGATTGGGTTAGTATTTAACTTTAGTACGGAGAGTAATTAGTTAGGATTAGTGAGTAGCTTTTCAGTGTTATCATAATTTAATTCTTGTAGCCAGATAGTTACTTTATTTTTGCATGTAATCTTATTGACGTTAAGTATAGGGATAATTTTATTGATTTTATTGTATACAAAACCTCCGAGGTGACAAAAAATGGTTTGCTGGATAGAGTTATATGAGTGCGGTCCACGGGGTTAAAACGCCTTTTCCCTCGGGAGAGTGAGGGATTGTATTTTAATAGAGCATGTTGTTTCAGTAAGGTTCTTTGTATAAACAGTTGCCGCACAGTTAATATTTTCAACTCTTTATATAAGAGCTCTGTAGGATAGTGATATGGCAGCGAAAAAGAGACCTTTAGGATGGCTCTCTGCGTTCTCTCCAATTGGAGCATTTTTGATTTCGGAGCACCGCCCCAGGAGGTAATACCATATGTTAATAGAGATTGGGCCAAGGCAAAATATACGGATTTCTTTAGTTTATCATCCGCCGCGTCTCTCAGAGTTTTAAATACATATATTAGTTTACGCAACCTGCTATTAAGTTAATGTGTTCATGAAAACGTAGAGTGCTATCGATAGTAACTCCTAGATATTTTACTTTGTCAGCTTGACGTAGTTGTGTGCAGGTGTCTGCATTATTGAGTGGATTGGAACACGAGTGACTTACGACGGTATGTGGTAGAGATGATGTGGTTAATGTTTTGTTTTTTAATCTAAACGGGACATAACATGTTTTATCTATGTTCAGTGTCAAAACGTTATTTCGAAGCCAATTTGACTCAGTGTTGTAGCCCAACTGGGCATACGCATAGACTTCTTGCCATGTACTTGCACTAAAAAGGAGGACAGTATCATCTGCAAAACTTATGAGTCGCCCTTTAGGGAGTGTGAGCATACCCAGTTCGTTAATATATATAAGAAATAAGGTTGAAGAAAGTACGCTGCCCTGGGGCGTTCCATAGGTAGTTGTGCATTCGGCACTGACGAACTTATCGACCTGAACGCGCTGAGTACGTCCACTCAAGTAGTCTTCAAAAAGTCGCAGTTGAGTACCTCTAATTCCCATACTCTCCATCCTACGTAAAAGTATGGGTACAGAAACTGTGTCGAAAGCTTTGGATAGATCTAGAAAAATGCCGAGAACTTTCTGCCCATTGTCCAAATTTGTAACAATATAATTTGTAAGGTCATGAATCGCATCGGACGTAGATTTGCCTGACCTAAAACCATATTGTGAGGGCGATAGTAAGTTATTTTTTTTTCCAAATAGTTTACGAGCCTGTTGTTCATTATGCGTTCAAGTATTTTGGACAAGGCGGAGAGCACGGCTATAGGTCTATAGTTATCGGCACGATCTCTGTCCCCACCTTTATAAATCGGGTGTATAATCGACTTTTTAAAAGCTTTGGGGAATTTTCCGGTTGTGAGAGCAAGATTGCAGATATATGTTAGGGGTGGGACAACTACATTAATATGCATTTTAAGGAAATAAGAGGATATTCCATCCCAACCCACAGCACAGTCGTTACGGAGAGATATTATTAACCTTGCAACCTCGTCCTCATCCGTTGGTAACAATACCATGGACTGCGAGTTGTTGTTAAAAGCTTTTTTCGTTGACTCTGTCAGTCCACCCAATATCTTTTCCGCAAGATCTTTACCTACGTTAGCGAAAAAATCATTAACTAAATTAACAGATAGCTCCGGAGAAGATGATAGAGTTAATAAGTGATGGGATGAAATCTCTTTCTTTTTCGCTCTGTTTGTTATGTTGTTTATTGCTCCCCAGAGTTGCTTAGGATTATTATTAGCCTTTTTTAATTCATTTTTTTCATATTCCACTTTAATTTTTTTAACAACTTATTACAAAAGTTTCTGTACCTAGTAAAAGATATTTTAAGACTTCGTTATCTGGCGACTTTTTTGATTTTTTGTGTAAGTTATCTCTGTGTCGAATACAGCGTAACTCCTGGAGTTATCCATGGTGGTGGAGCCACGTGTTTAAGGCTGCCGAAAATCTAGTTCCCCGGTCGAACCTTAAACCTATTACGCGAGATATTAACTAAAGTGGACTGTATATGCGATTGCTTCTACGCTTACGTAAAAGCGACTACTATAGCATGCGGTACAATGCACTCGCTCTTCCCTAAACTAAAAGTATTACTTGCCAAATCGATGAAAGGAATCCTGCTTGATTAGGAAAACACAAAGTTGGAGCGGGTTAAAACTATTATCAAGCAGGTATAATAGTGGATATTGACTCACCGGGGTTCTTCTATCCTTTAGAGCACTATAGCGGCGACTTCCGGAACTTCTTCTGGACAGACACTCTGGGGCCCCAGGGGTGCGTCGGGAGAGAAGCGTTGTAGTTCAACGACGGCTGCGGCGGGAAGAAAGAGCTGTGGTTTCAACGGCGAGCGCGGCGGGAAGAGAGAGAGGCCGCGCATCGGTCGCGCGTGCCTTATATATCCTCGGCTCCGATGATTACGCGATGTTCTAGAATCATCTTCTTTCCCCTCCCACCCCACCACCCCGATGTGTCGATAGGAGGGTACGAATGATAATCGTTTTGGAAAGGAATAACGATTCGGCAAGTCCTACCGTCATACAAAAAAAAATGCGAATGGTTTTCCGCGCAACCATCTCCCCCGCCCTTGAAGGATTTCCTTCAAAAAATAACTAAAACAACTAGAGCTAAGATCAACTAACAAATAACTAACTAACGCTAAGATTACCTAAATTCAACTACAATTTTAATCTAGAAAGCTAATTTAAATTATGGAAGAGGCAAGGGGCACAAACGGACAACAGGACGTAGGTAAGACCCAACCGTGGTCTTAACGCGAGCTATCCTAATTACTCCGTCGGAACCGGGAAAGACCTCTTCGACAATTCCTAACGGCCAGTGGAGAGGCGGCGCATTCTCCTTAGTGAGCACAACTACAGTTCCTACAGCTAAAGGCTCTGTCGCTGTGTTCCATTTTTGCCGAGACTGCAAAGTATGCAAGTATTCCATCCTCCATCGTTTCCAAAACGATTGCACTAACCGATCTAATAATT